CCACAGCCCCTCTCACCCCGGACAGGTAGAAGTATCCAGGTACAGCCCTAACCAGCCTTTGCTGATCACATGCCAGTGTGCACCCTTCCCCTGTTCCTGCCCACTTTAGAGCCTTCCAGCTCTGCAGATCAGATAATTTGCTAAATAGAACCCTTGGCTGTACCTTCAACTTATTGTCTAAAGAGGCAGTGAGCTCCTGGCTGGGGTCTGCAGGACAGAGGTCAGATGCTTTTGTGACTCTGAGCCAAAGAGATGGCAGCCTCCCTTCCCTCAAGACAGGAAGTCATCAGGTGGATAGTCTGACTGCATATTGGCCATAGAGAGCTTGGGATCTTCACCAAGCCTGTGTCCTTGTCTCTACACACAGGGCTATGGGCTCATCCAAAAGAGGGTCACAGACAGCACAATGGCACTCACATCAACATTCTGAACCTGAGCCCTTGCCTAGGGGCTGGCCAGGGCATTCACAACTGCTAGAAGAGTTTTTCTTGGAGTGTCTTGTCATTAATAAACCAGAGCTCATCATCCCCCCTTTTCCCTTCCCTGTTCGTAGTCTGCATTTCTCATTCTCAAGTTTGAGCATGCCTAGCACCTCTGCTTCCTGTTTTTCACTCCAGTCTGTCACCTGTCTTAACAATTTTTCCTTTAAAATGTCTTTGGAATCTTTCCCTTCCTCTCCATTCCAACTGTTCTGCTCCATACTGTCATTTGGATGATTATATAAGCTTATGCTATGGACTGATATTTGTATCTCCCCTATTCATATGTCGCAAGTCCTGACCCCCCAGTGTGATGGTATCAGTAGGTGGGGCTTCTAGGAGGTAACTAGGGTTAGATGAGGTCATGATGATGGGGTTCCCTGAAGGGATTAGTGTCCTTATAAGAAGAGGAAGAGACCAGAGTTTGTTCTCTCTCCACCATGTGAGAATACAGAGGGAAGGTAGACATCTGCAAATCAGGAAGAGAGCCCTCAAGAACAGAGTCAGCTGGTTCCTTGATCCTAGACTTCCCAGCCTCTGTCACTATGAGATATAAGTGTCTGTTGAGCTACCTCTCCCCTACCCCCAGCCACCCATCTAGGTATTCTGTTATAGTGGCCTGAGCTAAGACAACCTCCTACTATTCTGTGCTTCCTGCCTCATCCTTTGCAAGGAGTATTTTTCTTTCATGGCACTTATCGTGGAGGGTAATAATTTGTTGGTGTGTTTACTTGTTCTTTGTCTTCATAACCAGAGAGCATGCTCCATGAGGCTCTCTGGACCCAGGGCTGAACACCATGTCTAGCACATAGTAGGAGCTTAATGTTTGTTGAAGAAATGAAGTGCTGACTACAATAAATACCTCCAACCCAGTCTCCCTGCTTCCTGTCTTGTCTGCTCTCTGATCTGTGCTTTAGGCATTGCCAGGGTCTTTTTGGAACACTGATTCCATCGCACACAACTCATCCTTGTGGGCGTGCTTATTGGGTCCCACCTCCTTTTTTGGGGGTTTATGGGAAATTAAGTGAAGTTAAGATCAAACTGATAGTGAGGAAAGATGCTATAGGCCATTAATAAAAGTACATTTAATTATGAGTTTGCTTTAAAAGAAACCTCCAAGCCCATGAGTGCAACAGGAAATGAGTGAGTCAAGCTTCCTAGTATCTAATGTCCTGTAGATGAGCGCTTGATGCAATCAGCTCTAACTGCCTGGACCCACCTCTCCTGGGTACCCATTTGCTGTCCCTGGGGGAACCAGCATGGCTTTCCTCTGCTGTTCACACGTGCGGCTTGGGAAGGCCCGTCAGCAGTGCGGTGTGGACATTGTGAGTGGGACCCAAGCTCTGAGGGGCTGTACGAGTCCTGTGACAGCCTGTACATTGGGCAGGGCGGGGGTGGGGAGGGGCCAGAAGTACTTCGGAGGACAAGGCAGGCTCTTTGACTTCAGCTATTTGCCAAGTTGGGAAAACACAGTTCAGGAGAGTTCCCTCTTCAGTCACTATTGGTCCATTTCCCCTCTCTTTCCTAAGAGGAAGTTCCATTCGCTCTGTTAGCTCACAGAAATGGCAGCACACAGTCCTCGGGCTGGAAAAGCCCTTGCAGGAAATTGCTCAGGGGAAGACAATCAGAACCTTCTGCCGGGGACTTTGATCCAAATTCCCAAGAAGTCTGGAAGTGTCTCATTAGCTGGGCTGCTTAGAAGAATTCTCTCTTGAGAAGCCACAGCCCTGGCTGTGCTGGGCGGGGACAGAGCAGCTTCAGAGGAGTGAGCCAGCGCCCTCTCACGCAGTCCCGGCAGAGGTGAGCCTGGCTGTGGAGACCCTGTGCCTCGGTGGAGCTACCCTCAAGCCACTCCTCACTCTCTCTCTTCCTCCACACCGGCTCCAACTCCTGCGTGTTTACATCCACCCCTCAGGGGCTAAGGGCCTTTGCCATGAGGAAGAAGCCATCTCCAACACCTCATACCCAGGAGAGAGTGACCAATGCACTTGTTTCAGGGAGGCCTCCAGGGCTGACATGGTGTGACAGTGATCAAGTTCTCTGGAGGTGACAAGTTCGGCACTTCCTCAGAACTGGTTCTTTTTTCAGAGTGACATGGAGAGAGGCTTGGTTGGAGGTGACACAGGGGAGAGGGGTGAGGTGTCCCCAGTCCCCTCCTAAGGGACCCAGGTGGAGACCAAAGGTAAAGCCCAGAGGAAGCCTTGGCTTGACTGTCCCCACTGGGTTGAACTTGAAGGGCGAGTCAAACCCACCTGTGGTTTTTCGTGGAAGGAGCAGGCTGCTCCTGGAATGCAGATGGCTTCCGCACTAATGAGAACCCCCCCCCCCCGGGACACAGCTCCAGGCCGAGGGGAACAGGTGACAGGGCTCTGGGGAGGTCTTGTCTGCCATCTTCCTGTAAGGTAGGGGCTCACTCCCTTTCCATGTTGTCAGAATTCACATCCAAAACACTGCACTGGACTTTCCACCGACCCTTTTCAGTATCTGAAGAACCCTGCTGCACACTCCTTATCTCTTTCATCTTTCATTCTGGCTCGTTCTACTGTTCAACTGTGGCCTGTTTCCAAGAAAAACTTGCCTACTTCCCTTTCCAGCCAATGACAGCTGTTCACCCACAGCACATCACATGCCGGGCATGGCGTTCCACTCTTTTTGTACGTTATCTCATCTCCACCAGGGGTAATCCTCATGCTACAGGCAGGAAAAGTCCATGTGGAGAGCATAATTTGTCAAAGGTTACAGGCGATGCACGTTCGCAGGAGGACTTGAACCTGCGTCTGTCCGATTTGAGCGAGTCACCAGTCCTATTTCTTTAAAGCAACAACACACGGCCTCCCCATGTGATCAGTGCCCAGCCCACCAGGCCACCATCCCCTGAGAAATCTGACTGGTTTCACAAGACGCCTGTGACACTGACAATTTATTAGAATACATCACTCATTTACAGAGCTTCGTGTTGACGGGACATTCGAGCCAATTTCTCCAGTAGAACCTCACATTCCTCTGAATTGAACCAGCCAGTCTCTGTTTCCTCACTTTACAGACGGGGAAACTGAGGCAGAAAGAGGCCAGGCGATTTGCTTTAGATCCCATGGCTAGAAACAGTGGCAACAGAACTCGAACTCCAGGGCTTCCGAGATGCCCAGCATTTGGTCACGGTCCTGTGTTGACTTTTCAATAAATAAATGAACAAAGTAAATAAATAAAGCTTTCAAGGGAACCCTGAGGAATCGCCCTCAAGACTGCGAGGGAGTTCAGTTATTGCACTGGTACCTAAATGCGGTAGCTGGGCAGAGTGGCAGGGGCCGTGCTGGGCTCCCTGGGCCAGGTTGTCCGTTATCACAATGCTGCAGAGAATCGCAGGGCCAAGAGGGACTCTAGAGGACAGCCACAGGCCTGTCCCCTCCCAGCACCCTTGCCTGTGGGCTGTGAACTGCCTTTGTTTGGAGACAGAGTCTGAGGCCAGCTGGTGGTATGGTAGTTAAGGTGGCTGGATCCAACATGGCTGACTGCGTGGTTCGAATCCTGGACTCGGCAGCTTGAAAAACACACCTGGTGCGTGTGTGTGAGTGCTCAAAATCCCAAGAGGAGATGGCACAGTGGCGTGACCAGCTCCTTTGGGGATGATTTCTCAGTTTCTCTATTTCTAATCTCTCTCTCTATTTCTCTCTGGCAAGTACACATGGTCTAGAGCAAAAAACTAAAAAAAAACCAAAAAATCAAGACGGTCTGAATGTGGGCAGGCAGGGCTCACAGCTGACCCCCTCCTGGGCCCCAGTGGCCAGTAGCTCTCTTGGTATGAGGCCAGGGACTCTTATAGACCTGTGAACTCTTGACACGATGCTGGGCAAATGGCTTCCAGAGTCCACTTCCTCCCAGCCTAGGCTTGGAAGTGATGTCCCAGAGGTCCAGCATGGCAGACCCCCTAGAGACTGAGTTCTCATTCCACAACTGGGGAAACGGAAGCCCTCTAAGAATGGCTGGCCCAAGGTCCCACAGCTGAGCCCAGAGAGGACAAGACCCCAGCACAGTGCCCCGTCCTCTGGGTCTACAGTTTGATAGCAGCAGCAAACACAAGCGCAGCCCCCCACAACTCGAGATGATGTGAGCTGGTATGCAAGCCCAGGAGCTGGCAGAAGGCTGAGCTCTGACTGGCACAGAGAGCCACGGTGTCTCTGCTGGGGTGAGCAAGACTGTGGGGCGGCAGGGGTAGGGGTGGTGAGGGGCTTGGCTGCTGCACCAGCACCTGCTGGAACAAGAGAGATGCCTGCAATGGACACAAGGGCCATCCCGCCAGAGGGACAGGTTCTGAGCCCAAAGCCCAGTTTGGGGTGTCTGCCCGTCCTGATGCCCAGCTCACCCAAGGGAGAGGTCCATGTCTGAGCTGACTTCATTTTCTTTTTTTGGAGAGGTTTTTGCTATAAGGTGTGTGCACTTGCCAGAAAGAGACAGACAGAAAGCGAGAAATCATCCCCCGGGGGGATGGCCACGCCACAGTCCCTTCTCTATTCTCCTCTAGGAATCTTGGGCACGGCACACACATGCGCCCAGCGTGAGTTTAAGCCACCAGGTCCAGGACTTGAACTGTGGTCGACTACATGGTAGTCCAGCAACATAGCCATTACACTAACTGCTGGTCCCTTGAGCTGACTCAGACCTCACCACACAACTCCAGAAAACTCTGCGGTTCCTGTGAGCGAATAACGATACTGGAAGTCCCAAGGAGGGAGGTCTCCTCCCTGCCCTGAACCCTGCCAGCGTCTGCAGAGCTGGGCAAAGCCACCCACACAACCTGCCTCCTCCTGCAAGATGCCCTCCTCCTGCCCCGGGCACTGCAGGCGGCCCTGGCCCCCACAGGCTTGCTGGAAAGTGCCCAGGTTGGCCTCAGGTTTCACTTGACCCCCAAGCTGCCTCCTGGTGCAGGTCAAGAGAGTGCCCAGCCAGAATCAAAAGCAGCCCATTGGCCTGGTCACTCATTTGGGCACAGGCTGGAGACCAGTGGCAGGGTGACCAGGTCTGCGTCAAAGTTGCTCAGGAGACCTCCTGGGGCTGCCACACACTCCAGAGGAGCAAGGTCATGGGCGAAGTTCCAGCTGGATGTCCCCAGATCACCACAGCTGCTCAAGTCTAGGAATGGACACTCCACAGCTGGTCGGTCCCACTGTTCAACTGTGGCCCCTGAGGGAGCCAGAGTCATTCCTGAGGGATCTTGCTTCAAATAGCCCTTGGCCAGGGCTGGTGGAGGCCAGCCTGCCTCTGAATCCAGGCACGTCCTAAATTTAGGGCCAAGGTCATCTGTCATGGTGGGCTCTTCCTCCAGGCAGCCTGCCTTGGTTGCCTTCTCCTCTGTGCATCTGGTCTGCTTCAGGTAGCCCTGGAATGCCATCACAGCTGGGTCTTCTTCCTCAGGCCCCTCCTGTCCCAGGGGAGCATCGTGGCCTAAGGCTGAGCCACCCTGTGTGTCCCTAGGCTGCTCCTCAGAGTTCTGAACTAGGCTGATACCACTGTCATCCTGGCCCCGGCTGTTGCTGCCCATGTGCTGCTCCCAGGTGGGCCCCGTGCTGGGGCCCAGGCTGGGCTCCTGTAAGCAGATCCCGCTGTCTGTGCTGTTGCTGCTGCCACTCCTACAGTTGTCTTCCAGCTCCGGGGGCTCCCTCTTCCCCAGAGTCCCACCAGCCTGGAGGTGGGGGCCGGGCAGGAAGAACGGGGGCTCTTCAGTCTGCAGGGATGGCTTGGCACTTCCAAAGCCACTGTCTGTGCTGCCATGGAGGTCCAGGCTCCTCAGCTCTGGGGTCACCTTCAAGAAGGCCTCCTCATCAAGTGGATGGATGGTGTCAGGGGTCTCTGGGCAGGGCAGCTGGCTGGCGAGGATGAAGGGACTGGGCTTCTTGAAGTCCTAGGGAGGACAGGACAGAGTGAGAGGGGTGCAAGTGACCTGCAGGAGACCACCCTGTGCTGCCAGGTGGGGTCACGGCCCAGGAGGGAGAGCGCCAACAGAGGGGCTGCAGAGCCTGGTAACACTGCAAACTCTTCTTTCCTTTTGGATTTAGAATCAAGTTCTCCTCCTCATGCAATTCCCCACTGAGCTCAGGCCAGACACATAAGAAGCTTATATTCGTAGGGATGGAAGGAATGACAGGCGGAATGGAGCCCACTGGGAAAGCTCTTGGGTGGCTTTGCACCATCTACCATGTTTGCAAACCCAAGAGCAGTCTGGACCATGGAGAAGCCTGTTTGAAACTCTTTTGACTAGGACTACAAAAAAGGAATGTTACATTATAACCTGTACACATAACTCAATTCACAAGTAACCGAAACCAGTTTCACAAACTAATACTTATCCCTATCACCTGCAGGCTAGCTATGTTCTATTTTATTCTAGTCTATCCCACCATCTTACCCATTTCATTTTTTTAACATTTATGATGTGGGACACCAGGTTAATTTCTCTACTCCGAGTTGTAAGCGACCCAGACACAAGGCAGCTGATATGGGGGGCAGTGGAAAAGCCCAGGACTTGCAGCAGAGAACCTGCTCCCCATTAATTGTCAAAGGGCAGAGAGAAGTTGTTTAATCCCATTCTCTGCTCTTTCTGCCCCCAAATACATCAAGTGCCATGCTGCCTCAGGGACTCTGCACACGCCACTCCTGCTGGGAATCTGCTTCCCAGCACTGTGTGTAGCTGGGCTGTCCCCGTTGCTCATCTCTGCTCGGCAGTCCCCTCCACAGAGAGGTCTTCCTGTGGTTTGAAGATGTCCCTGGGAATTCCCAAGCTGGGCCTTGATTGCAGTCTGTATCGTAACCATATTATATCAAAGCTTAATTCCATCACGGTCCAGAATAAAGCCTAGTGGTGGTGACGGATTCATGGTGGTTACATCATGGAGACAACAGTCTCAAGAATCAATGATGTCTCGCGAGACCTAGCAAGGTCTAGCACTCACGAGAAGGGGTTAGCTCTCGCGAGAGCTGGCTGTCAGACCAGAGAGTTGGTCAGGAGTCCCCATCTCTCCCTGCATGTGCCTACCGTGCCCTGCACTGCTGTCAGCCATGCTGTAGGCCTAGGACTTTGGACCACCAGAATCGTGAGTTTATAAATCTATTTCTATCTTTAAAAATGACGCAAGCTCACAGGTATGTCTGTGTGCATCGCGAACACAGACTAGGACGTGAAAAGCAGGGCTCCAGCCACTCTTTGTATTATTGTACACTATCCTCGTTCGCGCCTTCCTAGAACTTAGATCCAGAATGATTCTGCTTTCTACCTCCACCTCTGCCTCACACTCACTCTCCACTCCCAACACGACCGACATAAGCTCCTTGGGTGTAAGAACTGTCTAGTCTTGTTTGCCACTGGCCCCAGAGCCAACATCAAACTGACACAGTAAACTTACAAGGTTTGTTGACTGACTTCCTAACTCACTGGGGCACAACTGCCTTCATTTCCTTTGTACGTCATGACTGAAATGCAACTCTCACTGGATGAGTCTCTGGGACTACTGAGTCACTTGGTGGTTAAGGATGCGTGCTGTGGAGCCAGACTTCACGGGTTCAAATCAGCCCTGCCTCTTATCAGCTTTGCCCACCTTGGTCAAATCACTTATCTTCCCTGTGCGCTAGTGTCTCATCTGTAAAGTGGAAATAGTGACAGAAGCTGTCGCCTCACGTTGGGGTCAATGAATGTCCAGTGCTTAGAACAAAGCTCAGGCCCTACAAAGCACCCAATAACGATTTCCTGAGTTGAATGTCACTCTCCAGTCATTCTGTAAGGAAAACCGGACTATCCCCATTTCCCAGAGGAGAAGACTGAAGCTCAGAAAACTTAAGTCGTGCAAAGTCTCATAGCAGTGAAGGACAAACCTGGAATGCCTACTCAGCTGGCCTGCTGTGAAATCCCCTGCTTGTCCAGTAGGGATGGGACAATCAATGGGATGTTGGAAGATCAAACCAGCTCATGAATGAGAACCACCTACAAAATGTGGAAGTGCCCTGTGCATTGTAAGTCACCCACCAAGTTCGTAATGGCCGTCATGGCTAGATGAGCTAGATTTATCTTGAGGAGGAACAAAACTAAAAACCAAAAACTTTAAGGACAAGCCAGTTCTATGATCTGAAAGTACAGAAGGAATAACAGTAATGACAACAAAAAATAAACCAGAAGTCGATTCCTGGCATTTTTGCATCTATGACTATTTCACTGATTTGCATTAAAGTTAATAGTTTACACACTGGCTGAGATCAAGCCCCTTGGGACCAGAGGTCACAGCAATCAGCTTCCTCCTGAACCATATCTTGTAGGGTTGGGCCTCCTCTCTCTCTCTTTCTTTCTTTCTTTCCTTCTTTCCTTCTTTCTTTCTTTCTAAGAATTACTTATTGGGACCAGCAGCTGTTGTAATAGCTATGTCGCTGGACTCCCATGTAGTCAACCGTGGTTCGAGTCCTGGATCCGGTGGCTTAAACTCACACACGGGCATATGTGCGTGTGCGCCCAAGATCCAGAGAGGAGAATGGAGAAAGGATTACAGCATGGCCATCCCCTCTGGGGGGTGATTTCTCGCTTTTTGTCTCTCTGTCTCTCTGTCTTTCTGGCAAGTGCACACACCTTGTAGCAAAAACTTTTCAAAAAAAATATTTATTTAATTCTATTTGTTATAATAATAATAATTATTATTGTTTTAATTTGACCAGAGACAGACAGCCAGAGAGAGAGAGGGAAAAGAGAGAAAGCAAGCCGCCAGGTCTGGTACTCAAACTGTGATTGGCCACGTGAGAATCCAGCGCCCTTAACCACCATGCCACCTGCTAGTCCCAGCCTCCTTATTCTCTCTACACACCTCTCCTGAGGGTCCTATTTCCCGAACACACTCCTCTTTTGACCAGTGCCCACCCGGCTTCAGCCCTGCATGTATACCATGCTCATAGGGTGGGTGAAACAGGCCGAGGACTACGTGTGGACCCGAATTTCCAGGAACACAGAGGAAAGATAGCGCTAAAGACTTCAGCTAGACACAAGGCAGAGCTGTGATCGTCCAAGGCTGTCAGGCACCTGACCGTCTCCTCCTCATCCTTTTCTCCCCAGGTACTGGAGCTGGGAACATGGCCCTTTTGTGCTTGGACAAAGCCTCTAATTAGGCCAGGCAGCCTTATCTCCACCGCCAGGCCAGGCACAGTCACTTCCTGGAGTTCTTACTCAGAATAATTTCAGAGCCTTTGTCTTTTTCCTAGGAATCCTAGGATTCCCCTGGAGATTCCAGCCTGAGCTTTCCTGGGGCCCTTTCTTCCCAGCTGAGACTTTGACCATTATATAGTAATGCCAGTTCTAGGGACTACAGTGGTGACCTTAGGTGGAGCTTAAATGCTGGGCCGAGATAGGCTGGGGTTCGGAAAAGGCTGCTCAGTTCTTGCAAGCTGAGCCGTGCGGGCTAGCTGGCCACCTGTATCAGGTCTGTGTGGTGTAGCAAGGGACACACCCTGGGAGGAGCGGGAGGTCCTGGCCTCTTCCTCCGCGAACCCCTCCTCTCTAACATCACCTCTCCACTCTGCTCCCTGCTACCCCAACGGCAGCCTGAGAGCTTGCACCCCCAGCCCTTCCTCCGCCCCTGAGGACCACTCGTCATCTCTGGGGTGGAGTCTCCATTCCTGATTCTTCCACAGTGTCAAAGCTTACTTGCATCATGGTGTGACCCTGTCCCCGTAGTGATTTCTCTACGCCTCCGTTTCCTCGGGGGTAAAATAAAGGTGACTGTGCCTGCCTCAGAAGCACGGATGCACAGGGGCTGGTCCACGGCCTGTTACAGCAGATCGCAACCAAAGGACTCATGGCCACTGAAGGGTGTCATTTCTCGGCAGGCCGCTCACAGCCACCAGGTTGTCAGGACTGGGCTTACTGGTCACTTCCTCCTTCTGTTCCCACAGTGGCTGCCAAAGACGCCTCCTGATCATGTCAGGGCTGAGTGCAGGTGAGCTGGGGAACGGACTGTCTGGGTGGGAAGGAGCTCTCTGCTGTCTCAGGAACTCTGTTGAGGCTGGGAAGGATGGGGCAGTGGCTCCCTGCAAGACTCACCAGGACAGTGGGCAGCTTCCCCCGGCGCCGCACGTACAGCCGGAGGGCCAGGTAGTAGACCAGGGCCCCACAGAGCAGCAGGACAGAGGCAAACAGGAGCAGGTTGGTCACAGTGAAATCTGCGGGCCCAGAGAGAGGTGTCTGTGGTCGGCGCCATGGGACGTGGAGGGATGGTCCCCAAGATCCCTCAGCCATTCTCAGGAGGTGCTCGGTGAAGCAGTCCAGGCCACCCCCACAGGCGATCTCTAGGCCATAGTTATAGATGCACCTCGGTTCCTGCAAGTCCCTGCCTGGCCTTCCAAGTCCTCACTAGACACGTGGGCTGTGTCTCCAGCTTGCTGTTCACGGTGTGTGCTACAGGAGGACAGCAAGGCGGGCGGAGACAGCAGCTATGCACAGGGACCTGGGGCAGCCAGACACAGCTTCACCGCTCACTTGCTGTGGACTGTGGACAAATGACTTCACTGCTCTGAGCCTCAGTTTGCTCGTCTATAAGACGTGCACACGTGCACCTCAGGAGGCCATTGTGGAGCGCACGGCACTGACCGTGTGCCGAGTGCTTCACTTCTACCGCCTGGCCCTTGTGACCACCTATGACACCACCCCGATTTACACACCGGGACCCTGAGGCACAGAGAAGCTGAGTAACTTGCCCAAACCACACACCTCCTAAGTGGTAAAGCTAGGGTTTCTTTTTTTTAAAAAAAATTGATTTCTTGGGGTCAGCAGGTGGCGTGATGGTTAAGGCAGCTGAACACCCATGGAGCCAAGTTCAAGTCCCAGACCCAGTGGCTTGAAAATTATACTGGGTATGTGTGTGTGCATGCCCAAAATCCCAGGAGGAGAATGGAGGAGAAGGGATTGTGGCATGGCCATCCTCCTTGGGGGGGAGGGTGATATCTCGCTTTCCCCCTCACTGCTTCTGGTGAGCACACACATGCTATGGCACAAACCTTTAAAAATGTTTATTGAAAGAGAGAGGAGAGAGAGAGAGAGGGAGGGAGGGAGGGAGGGTGTGGGTGGGACAGGGTTCTCGACTGGGTCTGCACACTGCCATCTTCCCCAGCCTTCCAGCCAGCCGGGGTCAGGGCTGCACCTGAGGTTGCACCAGCGTGTTCAGGCTGGCCCAGCATCTGTGCCCTGGGCCCTCCCACATCCCGGCAGCACCCCACCACCTTGCTGCTGCGGCTGGGCTCAAGCCATTCTCACACCGGTGAATGAAAGCATAAAAAGCACAGGGCTGCCCAACACGCTTTGCATCTTGCTCTTCAGTAAGGCTTCAGTGACAGCAAGCTGTTAAGTGGCCCTTCTTGAGCCAAAGTCTACTGTGACTCTAAGGAGTCATTTGGTCTTGGCCAGCCCCTCCCTACCCAGGACTGGGTGTTCCTGGAGCATGTGTTGGCGGGATTCATCGGGCACTGGATACAGGCTGCCTCGAACTGCCGATTACGGCTTCCTCTGTGCAAGCTTGGTGTTCCCAGCCAGACTACAGGGCCTGGGAGGGCAGGACCCCAGCCTCTGCTTCCTCTATCTGCTCGCCTCCCATGCCGCCCTGGCCCCTGGCTGAAAGCCTGGATGGTTTCGCTGACTTTAGCGTCTCTGGTGAGGAGTTCAGTTTTGCTTCCTCTGGGGAGGAGGGAGGGAGGTCTGAGGAGGAAGGGCAGAGGCTGTGACAAACAGGAACTTGCACAGCTGACTGAGTGCGCCCTGGCTGGGGGTGCCCTGGGAAGCACGGCGGGGCTCCAGAGGAATGACCTGGAGTCAGGGGGCCTGGTTCTGCCACCGTGCCCTGGCTGTGGCACACTGAGTCTCAATCCCTTCATGTCTCACATGGGGACAACAGGACCTGTCTGGTAGGTAGGTGAGGATGGAGAGCTATGGGGGTGTGTCTGGCATGGTGCCCGGTGCCCGCAGACTGGAGCAAATGTTTTCTGGGCTGCCGAAGCCCTGCCCATCGCCCTCCCCACCCCACAGTAGCCCAGACCTACTCACATGGCTTGGTGACAAGGATGCACTCTTCCTGGGACCACCTCCCCTCGTTGACTCGGGAGCTCACCAGGGGTTTCACCTTGACACAGAACTTTCCCACCTCTCCAGAGGCAGGGAGGCTGAAGTTCTCTTGTTTCACTTTGCTGGTAAACTGTGGACGACAGTGAGGAAGACCACCCTGTTATGTCCGGGCACACAGGAGCTGGGGCCTTTAGGGACCATGACAGCCAACTCCCTTCACTCACTTTTCCCTTAGCTATCAGAACCTGGAGCTATCCATGTAACCTGATGTCCCCATAACTACCACAATTAATTTGTATTAAAAAGCAAAAAGGGAGTGTTTTATAGAAAGTGAGAGTTTTTCCAGAAGGAGCTAGAATCTATGGGGTAGAAAGAGAACTGAGTTTGCACTTTTCAGATCTCCCAGAACAAGGGCTGCCTGGAGCCTCATTTCCTCATTTCCAAAATGGAATGAAATGCCTGCTGGGAGGGGATTCCATACAATAGCAACAAGGCACTTGGTGCGTCCCTGCCCCCACCCACGCACATCAGGGCAACACCATTTGAGGCTGATATCATTTCAGCTCCTCCCTCCACCTCCCAGACCCTCCCTCTACTCTGCCAGCAAAGTTCCCAGTGGTGCAGGAAAGGCCCTTCCAGTGCTGGGAGCAGCGAGGCCAGGGAATCCCTGGCCCTGTAGTGTGGGGAACTCCATACCGTATAGTTCCCGGGCACTTTGCGAACAGCAATCTGATATTCTCGAAAGTGATGGAAGATGCTTTCATACGTGTCACCTGCAGGGGCCACCTGAGGCCTGGGGGGCTGGATGATCCCGAGGATGGAGCCATCGTGTACCTCTAGTTTCACGCTGCCAACTGTCAGGGTCACTGAGAGAGGGGACAGAGCCATGAGGACTGAGAGCAGGGGGAGGGCATGGTGCCCTTGCCGTGCCTCCAGGATCAAGCTTTACCACCCTAAAACCAAGGCCACAGGCTTCCCAGCTCAGCAAAACATAGATTTCTTGAGGAGCAAGTTAAAAATACAGACACCAGGCCCACTCGAGACACTGCGACGCTGAATTTCTGAGGCTAGGGCCTGGAAAGCACACTCCCTAGGTAATGGTCTGCAGCCAGCTGAGTGCGGGCCTGAGAGTAGCATTTGGGAAGCGAGGCCCTCCTAGCCCTTGGCGCTAACCTAGTCCTGCAGGGAAAGCTCTCCACACCCCTAGAGCATGCCCCATCCCAAGGGTGGAATGGAAGAGCCCAGCGAAGTCAGGGCTTATCCTTTTCTCTCGCCTCTCCCGAGACAGATTCCCAACTTTTCTTCAGTAGAACCTTCTTCCTTTGAAAGGCTAAGCCCTGAGAGTTCACCCCAGTGGGAGGTGGGGTGGAGGGGAGAGCCTCATCCAAATTCTGCCTGCCACTCACTTGTTGCCCTGTGTGGACTGCCTACAGATTCACTTCCTCTCTCTGCCTCCTATAAGTTCGCAGGCCTGGCCCTCGTGACTCAGCTGGCCAGACCCACCCCCAGACCTCTCTTCTTTAGGATAAACAACTCCAGTTCCCTTTGAAATCTCAAGTGACTTTGGCTATTTTCATCTAACCTTGGGGTATGTCTGGGCAGCTAATTCCTCAGCCAGGAGGCCTGGCTGATGTGGAGGGCTGTGCAAACAGAGCAAAGCTCAACCAAAGTTTCTGACTGGACGGGATCCCCAAAGCAGGTATCAAGCCCAGAGGAGGAAAAAGCACCTTCGTCCACAGTGAAGCGGATCCCCAGGGCCGTCCAGTTGGACTGCCGGCTGCCATCTCCTGCTCGGACTTTGGCCCGGTAACCATTACTGTGGTACAGGTCCAGAGTCATCATGGTAAGATCACAGGACAGTGACAGAGTGCGGCTGCAGTAGGGGATGGTCTTCCAGATTTTCATCCCGTACCTGAGGAGATCACAGGACATGCATGGGGAGAGGAACTTTTCTTTAAGAAGGAAGCAAAGGGACCAGCAGTTGGCATAATGACTATGTTGCTGGACTCCCACATAGTTGACCATGGTTTGAGTCCCAGACCTGGTGGCTTAAACTCACACCAGGTGTGAGTGCGTGCATGCCCAAGATCCCGAGAAGAAAATGGAGGAGAAGGGATTGTGGCATGGCCATCCCCCTGGGGGGGGGGTAATTTCTCGCTTTCTCTGTCTCTCTGTCTCTCTTTCTGGTGAGTGCATGTGCCCTATAGCAAAAAACCTCTCAAAAAATATAAAAGAAGAAAAAGAAGGAAGCAAAAAACTATGAGAGAGAGCTCTCACAATGGGAGAAACTGTACAGCAATCAGGGTATTTCCTCTAACCCAGGGCAGCTGCTGAGAAAGGATCTCCCTGGTTCTTAGACCCTGACCAATTCATTTGTGATGTAGAAGCCTCTCAGATGGGACCATGAGAGGTTCAAGTGCTGTGGCATGGCCATCCCCCTGGGGGGGGTAATTTCTCGCTTTCTCTGTCTCTCTGTCTCTCTTTCTGGTGAGTGCATGTGCCCTATAGCAAAAAACCTCTCAAAAAATATAAAAGAAGAAAAAGAAGGAAGCAAAAAACTATGAGAGAGAGCTCTCACAATGGGAGAAACTGTACAGCAATCAGGGTATTTCCTCTAACCCAGGGCAGCTGCTGAGAAAGGATCTCCCTGGTTCTTAGACCCTGACCAATTCATTTGTGATGTAGAAGCCTCTCAGATGGGACCATGAGAGGTTCAAGTGCCTGCTCTTCCAGGAAAATCTGGAACACAGGTTTTCGCCTCCCTGCAACACAGCCTAATTTTGCCCTTGCAGGTGTTAGGGTTTCTCTGTTCTCCAACCACACTGTGCGTGCATTTCCTGCTTTTCTAGAAGATGGAAGAGCCTTGAGGGCAAAGGCAATCCCTTGGCCTTCTCAGCCTGGTGCTCCTAGAACATCACTGTGCAGCGCGTCTGAGACTCAATCAGCCTTGTCAACTGATGCACATGTGTCAACGTCTCTCCTGGTCTCTCCTCAGTGACAAGGCAGCCATCCTCCCAAGTCAGGAAAGAGGGGGAGACGGACCCATCAGCTCCCTCCCCCCCTCCCCCTCCCTCCCCCTCCCTCCTCTTCCCTTACCTCTGGACCGCCACCTCATAGTAGATGTTTTTGTAGTGATCTGGGATGGGCGTCCAGTACAGCATGTGGTGGAAAAATTCCGCTTTAAACCACACAGATGGAGGGCCAGGCAATTCTGTTCCTAGGGAGGAGAGTGTCAGGACCGGAGATGGCAGAGCTCACCCCCCGGGCATGAGGGAGAGGACGGTGACGGTGGCAAGGATGACAATGGCTACCATATACCGAGGACTTCACCATGAGCGGAGTTCTGTGCTCAGCACTTTACCTACGTTCCATGTCGTTATCGCAACATCCTACCCCAGGGCCTCTGTTATCACACTTTCACTGAAGAAGGATGAGGGGTCAGAGAGGTCAAGAGACTGGCTCGAGGCCATTGGCATGAGTAAGGAGCAGAGGGGGGCTTGAATCAGACCGGTATGATCACAGAGCTAGTGATGTTCCCTTGTCACTGTCACTGTCCTGTTGCTGTCTGTGATCGCAAGTCGCAGCAGTGGCTGAAAAGGACCAAGCTGGGCCCAATGCTTGTCAGCAAGGAGCGCTTAGGCGAGCTAGTCCCTGGCTCTGTCCAGTCCCTGTCGCTGGTCTGGTGCTATCCCCAGGCCTGCCCCTCGTCCCCATACCAGGTCCCCACCCTGGCTCTAGCTCAAGGCTGCTCTCGGAGGTTCTTTGGGTCCACAGATATCCTACTTATTGACGTCTGCCTATTTCTTCAAAGGGTCTCCTGAGCTCTCTGGGCGTAGTGCTGGCCCATCCCTGAGCTTCTAGAAGGGCTCTATCCAGATACTCCAACCTCAAGCCAGGTGAGGTTGCACAGAATGAATCAACTCTGTCTCCAGACTGGCCTGAGAACTCTCTAGAAAGAGCTAGCACCCTTGGCTCCAAGGGACTACACACAATTCCCATTTATATGCTCAGTGCCTTTCGCCCCGACACACACCATTCGCCTCGGGAAACATCCCCCTCAGGAGTCTTGGGCTATGGGGTCAATGGGGCTCCGGGCAGATGCCTAACCTTGCCAGCCCATCTTCTCGTCTGGGAGAATGCCGTGGCCACATCTACTTTAGGGGGCCTGCTGGCTCCCCCTGTCTTTCCTGAATGGCTCCGGTCCCACTTCTCTTGTTCTCTAACTTCTCCTGTCTCCAATCGTGCTTTTTCTGGCTGTCATTTTGACATAAAAAACACACCGGCCCCTGTCTTTTGCTCTCTTTCCTATATTGTCTTTGATCCTCAAGTCTGGGTCTCGATTTCAAAGCACGAGTTAGAAAGTGAAAAATGCAGCCTGCCTCTGCGGGGTTTGACCTGGGCAGCCTGGCTCAGCTCTGTCACCAAGGCCGATGGCAAGATCTACTTGGTATTTTGGTGTTGAGTAGAAGAGGTTTCAGTCCCTGCTCTCCCTCTCTGCTGTCTCTCCAACCCCAGGCCCTCCCATTCTCTCTCTCCCAGGCCTTGAACTCAATTGCAGAAACTTTCCTGGACCTGAGGTGCCTGAGCTAAGGCACGGCGTAAGGAGAAGGGGGTCAGAGGGCAGCTTCTGCAGTTGGGGGCTCAAGATCAGCAAGGACAATGATCAGATGGAGGTGAGGGGAGTGTGGGGGGGGAAGGCAGGGATGAGTGGACGGGGAGGGAGACAAGGCTAAGGGAAGGAAGAGACAGAGGGTAACAGAGTCACACCACCACCCCCCACCACCCCCGCCCCAGGGAGATAAGCGGTCCTGTCCCCTTCTTGGAAAAAGACAGCAAAAAACCCAGGGCTAAACTTTTGGCTCTCTGAGAAGTGAGCGCACGCTGAACTTTTCGGGGAGGCTGTCAGCCTTGTACATCGCCCCTATCACCCCCTCGCACACCCCCTTAGCTTCTGCCACTTCTCTGACAGGTGAGCCTGAGACCCTGTCTTGCCAGAGGGCAGGAGCCCCAAGTGCGGGAGAGGTGATGGGGGCCGCTCTCTCCAGAGGGCCAGCCAGACAGGGTTCTCGGCGGAATGCAGAACTTCCATTGAGGGGTAAGGACAGGTCGGAGGCCGGTCTGGCCCCCCATAGCCCAGAGGGCAGGAGGGGCCCCTGGGACTTACCGTGCGCGCCGGGGCCTCGGAGCAGGCTGAGCAGCGCCGCCAGCAGCACTCCTAGGCGCAGCAGCATGCTGAGCGCGCCGCATAGTCCAGAGGCAGGACCGTCCTG